TCAATATGATGCATTATTTTCGGTTTATTATATTGTCGTAATATTTTGTACCTGTTCAATGCCACTGGGTTCAATTACTTTGAAATGTAATTAATTAAATTACAATAACTTTGATTTTCCTCAATTACAATTACAAATACAATTACACCTTAAATTAAAATGTAATTAATTAAATTACAATTACATTACCAATGTAATTAATTACAATTACAAATTACTTTGTTAAAAAAAAAAAAACAAAAACAAATATATTTCTGTATTCCTTTAATCAACAAGATATCGATGTTGGTAAACAGTGGTCACTAAATCCAATTCATATTTTTGTCATCAAAAAGTGAAATGCAAAGTTAGATTTTATCTACAATGTACACTATTTGATCAAATTTGTATTTTGCATATTTCTTTGGGCTTATTATCAAATACACACCTCTATCATCTCTTGTTGCAAAAAACACTTTGTCCACCACTGTTACCTTAGGTGTACTGTATCATGACATCATTACAGGCCTACATTACAATATATAATCAGCCGGTCTCTCTATCTGACATAATCCACATTAACATACTAAAGGATTTGTCAACTTGGATTTATGGCTTATTACCTTTCATGATTATAAAAAAAGGACTACAGTTCAGTAAGATTTTGATTATCATATCCTATGAGAAATAAACAAAGAGGCCATTTTGATAGGAACTTGACTAATAGTACTGTTAATCCCCCATTTCCTCAAATACCAACCTACATTCAGTCATGCGTTACTGATTACCTTTGTTTCACAAATATGCAGATGGTGATAGTTACAAAGGCTTAGACATTCAAATCTCTTTCAAAACTTAACACCTGCTAGAGTATATACCGACAACAAGCATCTTATTGAAAAACACTCCTTTGTCCTCCTTTTTGTACAGAACATAATTGCAAGGGTTGCCTGATGACCACCAAAATAAAAAAGTGAGATGTAATTTGATGTAATTGAAAAATTCAATTACATTGAGATTTTAATTAATTAAATTACAATTTACATTTTAAACATTCAATTACAAAATACATGCAATTACATAGATTTTTGTAATTAATTACATTCAATTACAATTACAAATTACAATTACCCCATGTCTGCCTACAGGGGGGTATTGGCCCCCAAATCATACTGAAAACAACAAGTTATTAACTTTCAAGCCCATTACCATAGCACTACTATACAGAGGTAATGCTGTGGGAGATCATAGTTTTGTGGGGCGGTTGGGTAGCCTAGTGGTTAAAGCGTTCGCTCGTCTCGCCGAATGCCCGCGTTCGATTACCCACATGGGCACAATGTGTGAAGTCCATTTCTGGTGACCCCGCCGTGATATTGCTGGAATATTGCTAAAAGCGGCGTGAAACTAAACTCACTCACCATAGTTTTGTATTGTTGAACTGTAGAGAATCCGTCTGTGTTGATCTACTCGTTCACGAAGCTTGGAACTCTGTGAGTGTACCATTAGGCGTGTCAGAACCATGCACTATAGAGGATGTCACAAAGTTGCAAGATTCAGCACTAATCCTACGGTTAATGACACAATATCCGTAACACTGTTCAGAGCATCGTTACACTGTACACACCCGCTCACTCTAGAAGGTTCGTTCGTTATTCATAGCTGTGATAGTAAATTATGTTGGTTTTATTGTGAATAGTACTGTAACGAGGCACATACAAGATGTGGTGTAAGACAGACTGAACTTTTACCTGTTTACTTATATTTACAAGTGACGGTGGAACAAGATATAGAGTTACTTTCTTACCTTGTATATTCTACTTCATATTACTCCAACTCTTATTGGGGCGGTGGGGTAGCCTAGTGGTTAAAGCGATGGCTCGTCACGCCGAAGACCAGGGTTCGATTCCCGACATGGGTACAATGTGTGAAGCCCATTTCTGGTGTCCCCCGCCGTGATATTGCTGGAATATTGCTAAAAGCGGCGTAAAACCATACTCACTTACTCACTCCAACGCTTATTACATGCGTTTCAAACAGCCATCCTGAAAATAGACTGCGTTAATATCATAAAATTCTGTTATGCGTAAATGTGTCAAATAATCACAAGTCACCAACGTCCGAACGTGCGGTTTCGAATCTTTTTCCATGACAACCCAAACACGACAATGTCATGTAAATTATGAAGCCGGAGCCAAGGCCACGTTGATAACGAACAAAGAATGAGAATAACATCGTGTGCCGCGTCTTATCTCACATCCAGCTGAACAAAGCCAGCTAGTCTTCTCTGCCGGTAATATATATTTAAGAGTTGCGATACATAGTTATGCCAACATCCAGGGATCACAGGTTCGTCTGTGTTCCCCATGAATGCGTGTGGCAGCATACCCGTGATGCACTATATGCGAAACGCGTTAAACACAGCTCCTTCTTAGACTCGTATTACAAAGGTCTGTGTAAAGGTGTTATGTATGTTTTAGATACGTGTTTTGCGTGCCCCTCATTACAGTCTATTTGTTTCACCATTAATGCACTTATATATGTGACCGTGCCCCTTAAACTGACGTGGAAAAGAAAGTTTACACCTAAACATTGGAACACACAATGCAATGAAAATTGGAGTTACACAAAACGTAAGGTGATAGCGTTCAAGTCTGAAAACAATCGCCAAAACGCTGCAAACTAAAGGTCCAAAACTCAGGTATAATACAGGTTAATATTACAGTCCATGTTTGTTTCTTTTTTACCAGCATGATAAGGTATATTTTCTTACATGTCAATGTCAGTTTTGTATTTATATACTTTCACCCTCATCGATCTTGTCTAACAAGCGTACTGGTGATTGTTGTACACAAGTAGCCGTAGTGTTGTTACTCGTGTATGTTTGCAATGTATATTTGTCAAAAGGTTTTGGGATTAAAATGTTTTTAGAACTATGTTTCTTTCATCGTGACATAGATATTCTAATTGCCGTCCCGGATATATAGAGTGTAGACTTCGTCAGAGTGGTTTCAGTAGTGGAGGCAGTTGGAGGCTCTGAGTATCGCAGATGACTGACGATTCCACACGTTTGTTGCTTACAATATCAACGACGCAACCCAAACTATCAACGACGCAGCCCACACTGTCGAGGACGTTGCTCACACTGTCAGCGACAAAAATAATTACTTACACCTACAACGACGTTACTGTCACTTTCAACCACGTTGCATAACTTTATCAACGGCGCAATCCACACAAATCAACAACGCCGCTTACACTATCAAGGTGAGTGAGTGAGTTCAGTTTTACGCCGCACTCAGCAATATTCCAGCTATATGGCGGCGGTCTGTAATAATTGAGTCTGGACCAGACAACCCAGTGATCAACAGCATAAGCATTGATCTACGCAATTGGGAACCGATGACATGTGTCAACCAAGTCAGCGAGCCTGACCACCCGATCCCGTTAGTTGCCTCTAACGACAAGCATGGGTTACTGAGAGCCAATATTCTAACCCGGACCTTCACGGATATACACTATCAAGGACACCGCTAACACTGTTAACGTTTTCACTCACAATATCTACCATTTACACTACAATTCACTGACTGACGTTACGTGAGGTGAGGTGAAATTGGGTTTATCGTCGTGCTTGAGAATATTTCGCTCATATGACGACGTGCATGCGTATGTATGTGTATGTGCGGCTGCTTGTACTAGCCCAGACTTAAGCTGGTTTTATAGTGCTAGCCCACTGAGATACCATGCCGCAGTGAAGCATGAGTAACCCACTCAGACACATCATACTGACTCCGAGCCGACCAGTCCTTGTTGTACCAATTAATGCCGAGCGCCAGACAGGGACCAACAAGTACCATATTTTAACGTCTTTTGGTATGACGCGATCGGGGATCGAACCCGCGACCTTCCGCTCTCCGGGTGGACGCTCTAACCACTACACCACGGAGGCGGTCGACTGACGTTACGAGCGTTGATTCTACGACGACAGGCTCGCTGACCTGACTGAGCCATGTCATCGTATCCCAAATGTGTGGGTCGCTGCTCATGATTTCAGTCACAAGATTGTCTGGTCCAGACTAGATTATTTACAGAGCGCCGTCAAATAGCTGTAAAATTGCTGAATTTCGGCGTTAAACAACAAGCAAACAAACCATTACGATGCGGCTCCAATTATCAACAACACCGTGTTCACCATCAACTACAAGTTACGTGGACGCTCTCACTTTCTTATATGTAGCTAACGCCTTCATAGACGATACCCACACTATCAATGACAATTATTTCGCTATCAACGACGGCATTTACACCATTAACGACTTCGTTCGCATTATCAAAGCTTGGTTCACTCTCCCTGTCGCTATCGAATATATGTTTCCTTTCCTAAGCAGGAATCGTCTGCAAGCCAATCTCTCACTCGTGAGTAAATATTGTTTGCCCTTAGATGTTCCAGCCTCTTCATCTCTGCCGACGGAAAAGGATATAAAACTATAATTTGACAAGAAAGCTGCCCTACTTAGTTAGAGTACCTCAAGTCATGCAGCTCTGAAGCATAATAGTATCAAGTCAATAGATATTTTATATTGAGCAAAGTGTAATCCCAATAACAATATGTTGGCCACTTTCAGTGTCATTGTATATTCGTCGATACTTACTGTTCATTTCAAAGATGCGATTACGTGGTTGAACTCCTTCAAATGTAACAAAACTGGTTGTGTTAAATCAACATATTGAATCGACAATAGCGACATTCCCCAATAAGGAGAGGTATAACAAAACAACACAACGTCGTTCCCAGTTAAAGAATTCTTGCTTTTAACGATTTGTTCATAAATACCAAGAATTAGCATGTGGATCAAATATATCAGATGTGAACATGATGAATTAAAAGTTACTTCAGGTTATGTTTGTTTCAACTTAATGAGCACCAAGGAAGAAAAAAGATACAGAAAAATGCAAAACAGATAAACAGAGATAGTTGGAAAATCAGTATAGGGGAAGTAACTCCGACATGCCCACAGGAAGTGTATATTCAACATGGCCGCCGGTGTGAAAGAAGTAGATACGGTGGAAGATTTCAATAAATTGCTGACTGATGCCGGCGGGTAATTATATTTTTGAGTATCCATCGATAAACGTTTAGTTTCTAGTTCCTAGTGTCTGTTTACAGCGATCAAATCGAGGTGTGTAGCAGATGTTAGTGATGTGTGAAATCATTTTTTATGTCGGCTGGGCATTTTCACTGCATAATCAAACAGCTCACGTACAACAATAAATAAACAATAAACAGTGTCAGTAGGTTCATTCTTGAACAAGCGTCGCGGAAATCAAATGTGTAGACAACTTTTGTTGTTGGTATGCATTATTTCTTTGGGTTATGATCGATTTGTGAACTCACAAATATACCCGCATACTGATCGTGACATTCGGATTTTTGCTGATTCATATGATGCGGTTGTACATGGTTCAGGTTGTACTTGAAAATTATTCACGGGAATACAACCTGACTCAAAGGGTGCAAAAGTTTCATGATGATCAGTAACGAGATACTACTGCAGTTTACTGTGTTAGGAGTGGATCGTCATGGACATAACAACGTGGTGAAGCTCCTCATCACCAGCAGATCATGTGACATATCACAACTAATCATACTAATCAGTCCTCGTTTACATACATCAGCAAGTTCAGCTTGTTTATGATGGTAGTCATGCTTTATGGTCTCGGTCTCTTCTAAACTCACAATCTAAAATTAAAAAAATAGATAGATGTAAGCTTTCCTTGATTAACATTGCTCAAAGAGTTAGGATAGCTGACCCAGTCTCAGAACTAACCCAAATAAGACTGTGAATTAGAATGTTGTACCTGACCCTTGTGAAGATGTTTGAGTTGGAGGTAACCCAAAAATTAAAGAGCATGGTTTTCTTGTGAGCATGAACAAAAGACATTATAAACAACTCCCTTTGGTCATTATATTTCAGTCTAAATTACAACAAGTATATTAATCAATTGAATCTTTACATTCCCCATTCTAATTTTGACTGTTGACGCATATAGAGCATAGTTTCTGCACAAGATGAGCGATAAAGTGTTTGAGTACAGATACACTGGTGAAATAATGCACCAGAATTCTCCATGACACATTTTGTCCCATTTTGGACCACACCCTAGTAGTTGGTTTCATTCCCGTTGATTTGAATCCTGAGTGCAGTTATAGAGAGTAGCATTGACGTTTAGACAGACAGTGATAAACAAATAGTTAGCTTGCTTGTTGTGGCAAAGACCTTGTTCTGTTCCTGACATGAAGTGTTTACTTTCACTGCTGGTCAATATACTGCTGAAATACTGCTAAAACATGAGTTAGTCCAAATGTTTTACAAGTTGTGGTTAAGTCGACCCTTTTTTAACTTGACAGCAACCTGGTGGTGGTGCACTTCGCTGCCCCCTGGGCTCCGCAGTGCCAGCAGATGACGGATGTGATGGGGGTGCTGGCCAAAGACAACCAGCTCAGTCAAGTCAGGTTTGTGCAGGTGTGTATGGATGAGTACAATGACTGATGTATTGAGTGTTTGGGTTTAGGATAACATGCTCAAGTCAGGCTCAGGTAGCTGTGTGCAGATAAAAGTACATGATCATGCAGGAGAAGCACTGATGTAACAATGTGTAAGTGAGAGAAGAGGTAAGCATTGATTTACAGTTTTGGACCATTGGTTGATTTTGAGGTTGATTAAGTCAGTTGATTTCCATTCAGCTGACCTAATAAGACATTCATGATCTATTGAGCCAAACAGCATACAAGGAGTTTGTACAAAAAGATAACAATTTATATTTAGTATTTAGTATATTTATAAGCCACGGTGGCTGAGCAGTCTAGGCGTCTGACTTTGTGTGCTGGTGATTAGGTGCCTGACTCTGAGGGTGTCAGTTCGAATCCCCGAGGGGACTCAACCCAACAAAAGTACTAGAATCTGTACTTTACTAAGAAAGTGTAATCCCAAATATAACATATGTTACATTTGACCACTTTCTAAATGGCATTGTGTATTTCATATCAAGGTTGATTTAGTAATTATGGTAATAATAAAAGTTGTTGTCAGAACACAGTATCCTTTTACAATAGTCATTATATTCAAACTGCTTACCAGGAATGTATAAATATCCAAGCTGAAATTGTTATCGTTTCTTTCCAGCTTGAGGCAGAGAAATTAGCTGAAATTTCTGAAAAGAACAACATCATTGCTGTTCCAACATTCATATTTTTCAAGGTAGGCTTCAAAGATGTCAAATATTGTTTTCATTTATTATATGTTAGGAAGTTCTTACTCAGCAAGCATAATTCAGCTTTGTGGTTGTAAGTAGACATTAAGTTATGGTTGTTGTTTAGAGGACCAGTGATCCTAACATGTGATTTGGCTGATAGCTTGTTAATTCACGCTTTGTCCACCTTTCAGGTAGCCATGACTCAGTGGTCTTGTGCACCGCAGCTCATTTTGCAGAGTCGCCTCCCTTAGCAATGCCAGCCTCCCTGGCTCATTCTAGTAGCTCAACAACTATGCTCGTAATCTTCATTAAAAGTGTTAAATAAATTTTTTGTCTTCCAACTGACATACTGTGATAGAGAAGAGGTACTGTACGTTCATTGTGGCATGAGATCTAGTTCATTCTCTGTTTATTTTACAGGGTGGCAAATCGGTAGATAGGTTAGATGGTGCCAATACTGGAGATCTCACAAAGAAAGTACAGAGTTTATCAAAAGGTGGCGCTGTTGCCGCGCCTCCACCACAGCCACAGAAACAGGTGGGAATGTGGAACTGAGATGATGTTATTACCATGCTGTAAACTGGTTGTTGTTTTGACTGAAGTGTTGAGTGTGTAATCAATGTTAACATGGCTTGTAAAGCCTGGACTCCATGTACACCCTGCTGATAATAAGCATGTCTGAGTACTGGGATGAGGATGTAACAATATTTTCATGCACTTCTTCGTGGAAAAAATCTCGATGTTCCAATCTATAATACCGGTAGCATGAACTTGAAATTGTTTAAAAACATTTATAAAAAAAACTAGACAACTACAAAAATGAAATACCGATACTCAAACTCGATGAAGTGAATATCTCATTAGCTATACAGATTTAGACAGTTTGTCAACAGTGAACAATGCTTGTTGAAAGAGGCAGGATCTGGATCTGGTCGTCAGAATCGCTGACTTGGTTATTTCATGTCATCATGAAAACCCATGCATCAAGTGATGCTCCATTCTCTTCCCACAGAGGTTACTTGTCATATATTCCTACTAACCTCTGTTCTAATACGGCTATAATTCCCGGTTCTCGTAAAATCCCCTAGCGGCCAAAAATCGCAACACAAATTATCTCCCTTCTTTTTATCCAATCAGAACACGTGTTACATCGACTTAGATCAAACTTGACTAATGCAAGCAAATGTGGGGCCACACATATTCCTCCTCTGCCGGAGACTTGTGTTGATGTGACACACAAGACATTTAATGGCTAGCTTGTCCGTTTTCAACGAGGGTGATGGAGACGCCATTGATCCGCTATTACATGACTGAGTTCTGTCTAGAAGAAATGTTTGCGGGGGAAGAGATTCTAGTTTTCCCCGAAGCATACGGAAATTACCGAGTCCTTGCGAATGATCACTTTTGAAACAACGTTGCTGATTGCACAACTAAATCTGATTGCAACCAATCACGAATCCTGAACACTCGCACCATGAAAGGGTCGTATTAGAACAGAGGTTCGTTGGAAGATATGACAAGTAACCTCTGTGGGAAGAGAATCGTGTGATGCTCATGATGCCAGTCACTGAACTGTTTTATTGTGATTTGGTATTTACGGACTACTATCAGAAATCTGAAATATTGCTGATCACTGGATTGTCTGATCCAGACTCAATTATTTACAGACCGCCACCATATAGCTGGAATATTGCTGAGTGCAGCGTAAAACTAAAGTCACTCACTCCCTCACTCACTGAAATATTGCAGTGCATAACCAAGCCATCAGACTAGATTAGAATGAGTGCCCAGCAACCTATGATTGTCTTTGTATCAAGATTTATTATGAATTACTATTGGTTTATATTTTATGATGGATAATGATAAATTTGCTCAGAAAATTGTGATACAGAATCTAGCTGCACTGCCTCACTGCTTCAAGGTCAGCAGTTTCATAACGCCCAATACTATGCAGTGTCAGTAATATGCATGCATCATCATCATATCATATATACATTTGTATAGCGCCGATATCCAGCTCCGCTCAGCTGCTCAAAGGCGCTTTGTTTTTCCCTCGTTCACTGGATGTCAATCTCAACGGCACATCGTATTGTCAATCTCAACTCCCTGGGGAGCATACAAACTCTTGCAGCCACTAGGCGCACCGAGTTATTGTGGCATTCCCATCCTTACGAGGTACCCATTCACAGCTGGGTGCACTGGGACACATAGTCACAGTACTTTGTCCAAGTTCACTGCACGTTGCTGTACCCGCAACTGGGTGTTTGCACGTATTCATGTGGCCACCATCTGGTCATATACCTACGGATTCGTGGGTTCTTTTAAGTGCACAGGGTTGTGTACTGTACACTAGGGGTTGTGACAACACTGAAAGAGTCTGCACACAAAGTTGACTCCAAGGTTTTTACACCCGGTCACAGGTGGGCTCGATCCCGTCACCTCAAGCTCGCTGGATCACTAGCCTGGCGCTTTAGCCAGTTCGCCCACCGCGCATAACCGTGATAGTATGTATTTAATGCTTTATTGGTAGAAACTTCAGAGTTTCAAGGGTTTTATGTATTTAGCAAAGCATTAATTTAACCATCATTATTACTTTGTTCATGTAGAATACAATTTGTTGTTCTCTACAGGATCTAAACACACGTTTAAAGCAGTTGATCAACTCCGCCCCTGTCATGTTGTTTATGAAAGGGAATCGCCAGGAACCTCGATGTGGTAGGTCATCAAAATCTCACTTACATCTCAACCTATGTTAAGTACATTAACTTACGTTACACACTAGTCCTCTAGCCTGAGACAGCTATATTGTGCTGGACAAGCAGTGTTTGCCCTTAACCCTGCGCTGGACAAATGCAAGTCCATTAATGGCTGTCTTTCTTGACTTATAGCATTTGAGAGCTGTCATTCTGTTTGCATGATGGTTTTGCTACATATTGGAAGTGAATAAAACTGTCAGAAAGTGTCAACATGGAAAACATGTTCGTGCATGTGGCGGTTAGGTAGCCTAGTAGTTAAAGCATTCGCTCGTCAGGTCGAAGACCCGGGTTTGAATCCCCACATGGGTACAATGTGTGAAGCCCATTTCTAGGGTCCCTGACGTGATATTGCTGGAATATTGCTAAGAGCAGTGTAAAACTAAGTTCACTTTCTCAAACAGCTGCAAATGCTGAGGACTAGTGAATATGATTTGCATTATCTTAGACTGGATGCAGGAGCCGGTGTTGCCAGTGTATGATGCTAGCTTTCTGGTATTCCAGGGTTTAGTCGGCATATAGTCGGCATATTACAGGAGAAGAACATCAGTTTCAGCACCTTTGATATTCTATCAGATGAAGAAGTTAGACAAGGTATGTATGTCTTGTATTTCTGTTGCTGAAATGCTGGTCGTAAGAGAAAACTAAATGGGTTGGATGACTGATTGCATGTTGTTAGACAGTAAAGACATCTATCATGACTCATACAATTAATCATGGGATTGTCTGGTCCAGTCTTGGTCATTTACAGGATGCCACTATGTACCTGGATTGTTTTTTAGGGGTGCATTAAACAACAGACAAACCTGCAAATTTTCTCCTATTTTCATGGTTTTTTGTTTGGCTGAATTGATATCCAGTATTATATCTTTTCTACCTGTCTGTTCTGGGGGCTGAGTAGACTCCAGTAGACTTCCTGTGGACTCCTGGGTATTACCCCAGTAACTCATTCCCAACATTGTGGGAGATTCCCAGGCAGGCCTCAATACCACATGCTTGTCTTCAGGTGGGTTTTAGAGTCTATTCAGTGATTGATATTATGACCAACGATCCATGCCAGGAGGGTACAATAACACACAGTGAAGGTTGTCGTGTCTAATTAGCAGATTCATTTAGTCATACTATTTCAACTGTCATAAGTTTTTGGGGATCAGTGCACAGAAGGAACCCTCTATAGTGAGTTGGAAATATGACTGATATTGAAAGTAGGGTGTTTGTTACAGATGGTGATTTCAACTCACTCACTAGCATTTTGTCTTGTAATTCTTAAGGCCTGAAGACGTTCTCGAACTGGCCAACCTATCCCCAACTGTATGCCAATGGAGAGCTTCTGGGTGGCCTTGACATTGTGAAAGAACTGGTTGAATCAGGAGAGCTTGAATCTCAGCTGCCGGTTCAGGTCAAACTGGAAGACAGGTGAGTCACATGTTCTGACACAGAATTGCTGATGTGCTTGGTGGGGGGGTATATCCACAAGAAGGCTGTGTTGAACATTGCCAATACATCACAAATGTTCTACCCAATGGCTCTTGATCAGTACACTGCTATCAACCACCAATACACTACTTTTCTATATTGCTACACTACCATCTTCCATCAATACACTACCTTCTTCACCAAAACACCTTCTTCGAATAATACACTACCTTCCTCTATCAATACACTACTATCCTACACTTCTTCAATCTCCTACTAAGGCTGAACATGTATTTGACAGTCCATCATTTCTATTGCAGAAAACAGAAGTGATAAAGTATAACAGCCTGTTAATTGTTAAAACAGTTTAGTTTCATCAAACTTTGTGCTGTATGTTCACTAACACTAGATATCTGAAAACAAATTTGACTTAATGTATATGGTTTGATAGTCAATTTTCTCAGCTCCCAGAGATCTAATTGCAGCAAATATACAATGTCAAATTGAATAAAAAATATTCATCCAATGTTTTGATCTCTGTAGTAATTGCATTCTACCAAATTTCAGGGATGGTGAATGTAACAACTGAATTCAGAGAACGCCTTAAGCACCAAAAACATGTTATATAACACAACACAGTCTAAACTGTATTATACAAAAGTTCAGGTATTTGCATATTACGTAATGCTGTATGACATGTGGTATAGGCTTCAGGACCATGAAGATTTGAGGTATATCATGTATATCCACCATGTATCTATGTATTAAGCAGGCAATGGGAAACAAGTGCAATAAGTTCTTATAATTCCTGCTTTATTACTGCCACTGGCAGAGCTGCATGTAGAGTGGTAATTGTTAACTGAGACAACATATTTTTGTTCTAGATACGAACACAATAGGGTTTTGTCATATTGTGATACAAAAAAGTATCCCCCCAAAATATCCATAGTCCCACCATACTGTGTCAGTATAAGTAATGCATGCAATAAATGATGCAGTGCAACGTGAGATAAGTGAGCTTATTGCCTTGTTTCCCATTCCAGGTTGTCCCTACATGTGGACAAGTCCACCCAACCCCTTGCTCAGAGCACCTGTCAAAAACCCTCTCCCATGTGCTGTGAAAGTGTCAGCCCATCAGAAAGTTCGTCACAAAGACTCTCGTGTTCAGATGAGGACAGTTTCGGGGAATTTTACAGTGACATAAACAAAAAAAGTGATCTGAATGATGAAAACCTTAATGAAAGAGATTCTTCTGAGGACTCCTGTGAGGAGGAAGATGAAGAGGAGGATCAGTCTCTCCCTCTGTGGCTTCAGGATGAACTGAATGATACTAACACAACTGAAACGCCATCTAACCGGAGGGGGAGGGGAAAGAGAGGTAGAACTGCTGCTGCTCGGAGAAAGATCCAGAAACTGCACCAGAGAGAACGGAGAGCTCTGATCAGAAGTGATCCTTCTCTATTATCTGCACAAAGAGAGAAAGAACGTTTCCGACAAATGATGATTAGGCGTAGAGATTCGCTCATTTTGTCCCTACCTGTCGACCCAAGTATGTCCATTCATGAAGCTAACAAGATGTTGATGGAACAACAAAGGGCAGCTGGTGTTCCGGAAGAGGATATCACCTCCCTTCAGATTGGACGGGAAAATTTCCACACCATCGGTGAGCTGAAACGCAAGATCGAGGGAAAGAGGGCAGTAGATAGAGAGAGGACTCGAATGAAACGTGCTCAGCTGGATGAGAATATGAAAGAGGGCATGAAGAAGGCATGCAGAGAAAGGATGCGAGAGAAACGAGCACGTCTGAGAGAGTGTGACCCAGCTGCTGCAGCTGCTTATAGAGAAAGAGAGAAAATACGCAAAAGAATAGAAAGGCGGAGGAACGCCATGTTGCTGTCACTGCCAGATGAGAGTCTTCTGAACCCTGCCCAGGAAACCATGGAAGAATCTAGTGAACTCCCACCTGCTCTGCCCTTGCCACTGGCACCAGAGTTCTCATCAGCTTTGTTGGTTCTAAGAGGAAACCTAATGCGAAAGAGGCAGGAGCAGAAGGAGAGAGTCCGGCAGAGGAGAGCAGAGCTACGGGAGAAACATCCAGACCTTGCTGCTGCTTTGAGAGAGAAGGAGAGGATCAGGAAGAGAATAGAGAGGAGGAGGAACAATCTGTTGCTAAATCTTTCCCCTAATGCTCTCCTTCAGGCAACCCACTCCATTTTAGGGCAGACGGAGAATGGATGCATGGACAGATTACACTCTGTAATGAATTCTGGATTGGATGTTCCACAGTCTTCTCAGCAGACCTTGGAGCAGCACTCAACTCCTGGGTTGAAGGAAGCTTCAGAGAAGGACCTGCAATCAAGGTTGTCTGCAGATCCAACATCGCCTACATCTTCAGATGGCTCTTTCAATTCTTCTTTACAAGATTCTGTTTCCCCTGATGCAGGCAATATGAACTGGATATCAAACATAGAGAAACTGAAGAAGAATGCAGAACATAAGAAAGAATATAACAAAGAGAGAATGCGCCTGAAAAGGGCCAGAATAAAGGAAGATCCTGAAGCATTTGAAGCAATGAAAGAAAGAGAACGAATTAGAAAAAAACATGAAAGGTTAAAAAAGAGAGGCTTGCTCTCTGATATTAATGAACCCTTAACATTTAGCTATGATGTTCCCCAGTCTATGCCATTATCCACCGCAACAGTCTCCAGCTGCACAGACAATGAAGGGTGCCAGTCCGAGCAAGCAGCAGGAGAAGATGGTAGCTCTGATAGGCTGACAATCAAATTGGAGCCTTCAGATGTGTGGACCGACTCAAGCCCTGCTTTACAACAAAAACCAACCAGTCAGTGGCAGCAACATTCTTTGACCTTAAAACCCCCTGAGGACATTAGTATGATGAAGGAGGGTTATGTTGATAGGGAAACCCTCTCTGCTGATGGTGTGAAGGATGAAGTGGGTGCATGTCAGACAGATGAAGATGTCCAGCGGGTTGTATGTGATATGCCTCTAGCATCTGGATGTGATAATGTTCTGTCTTGTGAAAAGGGAGGTAATGACTGTGATAATGTTGTTGATACTGGTGTCATTTGTGATGAAAGACTCGTGAAAGTGGAGGCAGATTTAAGCTCTGAGATGAATCAAACTACCAGATCAGGTTCAAACCAAACGAGCAACTCCAACAGGATGGAAAGTCTAAAAGGCCATGCAAAAGCATTGGCACCTGCTGATCAAGGTGGAATCAATATGAAAGAGGATGAAATTGATGCAGCTCTTTCGAAAGAAACTCTAGGGACCAACAATGTCCTCCATCATACAGATCCTCCAAAGGAGCTGAACATACTATTTCAAAGATCTCAACAGCGTAAAAGTTGCACCCCTGTTAAGACTGATCAGAGCCCACTTTCCAACATTACCTGTACATCACAGACAGCTGACGATTGTGTGAGAGCTGAGGATTGTTTGGACCCTCATGGCAACAATGTGAAGTCCCATGGTGTCAGTGTCAGGCAGGATGGCACCATTGCCACACGAGAAGAGGTCATCAAGACAGAAGAGCATCAGATGGGACCAGCATCTGGTGAAGGAGCTCATTTGAGGTGAGATATAGTTAATCATTTGTGTTTCAAAGGTGATGTCATAACAGTTGATGCATGTCAAGTCTAATGATGGAACAGTATACACCTTTGCATTCTTAGATTATGAAAAATCTGTTTTTATAGTATGACCAGAAATTATTGAGAATTTTAGGAATATGTTTAATTGGATTTCTAGTATAAACAACCTTGACCAGCTATCAAGTGCTTGGTTTCATTCAAGGGAGACAACTCCGTTCATACTTTTTCATTAGTTTGTGAAGAGTTATCCCCCTTTGTTTACTTGCTAGCTGACGACATTTTCAGTGATCCTCAGTATGGATGATTTAGGGAAGAGGAAGTTGATTTTAGAGTATTATAACAAGGACATCAGATCAGCTAAAGTGATTTCAAGTAGAACAGGCATCCCTTTGTCCACTGTTTATCGTGTTTTGAAAAATATTGCAAATGGATATAGCATTGAGCAACAGGGAGGCGCAGGTAGGCCCAGAAAATTGACTGTTGGTGACAGGAGGTGGCTTGGTATTCTTGTTTCTAAAAACAAACGAAGGAGTTTAGAAAACTTAAGGCTGGATATGATTGATAGAGGAACTGTGGCTGTCTGTAAGGAGATAATTAAAACTGAGCTGGATGCAATGGGTTGGCAGAAAAGTCGAGGAATTCCATCCCCGATCATGAAACTTGAACAAAAGGAGCGAAGGTTGAACTGGTGCTTACAGCATAGAAATTTTAACTGGGACAATGTGATTTTCTCAGATGAAAGTTCTGTGTAGCTGTTTCCTAATACACTGAAATTCTGGACCAAACAAACTGAAAAACCTTTGTATCAGCGCCCAAAGTATAGTCCGAAATTTAACGTGGGGTGGCATATCTGTGTTAGGGGCAATGCCCCTCTGTGTATTTGAAGGGAATATGAACAGTGAGCGGTACACTGATATTCTCGAGGGACATTTACTTCCATCTGCTCACATGTTCTATGGAAATGTTTGGATTTTCCAGCAGGACAACGACCCAAAACATTGTTCAAAGCATTCACAGGCCTGGTTTTGGACCCAAAATATGACATTATTAGATTGGCCAAGCTATAGCCCTGACCTAACTTCAATAGAAAATGTTTGGGGACTTATGAAGGAAAGTGTCAATAAGAAAAATCTGACAAATATTGCTGAAATGAAAGAAGAGGTGGTCCGATATTGGGACAGCATGGACCACAACTTCTTTGATCAGTAGTATGCCCCTCCGCATTGAAGCCTGCATTGTTGCCCATGGTGACTTGACAAAAAATACTAACTGTTCACTTGTCTTTGAATCTGTAGTTATGTTCTGCTAATATTCACATTTAATATGTGAGTAATGAGTGAATTTTTTTTTTTTAAATACAATCTTTAAATTCTCAGTAATTTCTGGTTGTACTATAATATTGAATTAAGCTGTCTTTGATTATCATAATGATGAAATGAGGTGTGATCATGCAACTCTGGTTTGTTCTGATAAGTATGAGTATAAGTGAGTATGGTTTAACCTTGCTTTTAGCAATATGCCAACAATATCAGTGCAGGGGACACCAAAAATTAGCAGAGAATCAAACCAGGACCTTCAGTGTGACAAACAAACAGTTTAGTACCTTGGCTACACCACCAGTTGAACTGCATTCACTTACACACTCAAACCTATCAGCTTGACATTTTAAACAAGTCTTGATTGTCAGAGAATACATGTGCATTAACTGCAAGCTTTGCTTCTTTTCAGAACCAGTGGATCTGGTATCCCATCATTCTCCAGTGTGGAGGAGGAACGAGACTGGTTCCAGACTCAACTGTGCAGACTTCAGACTCGAGTTGCAGACACAGATTCTCAAGCACAAGTAAACCCTTCACCCATGCAAGGTCCACGAGGAATCAGTAACACCAGCAGTATACCTTTCGACTCTCCATCCATGGCATCCTACAACTTCTACAACAGTAACCTGGCCAGCTTTCCTACAAATCTTATACCCGATGTCCCGAAGGTGCCAGCTACGACTCCTCGATCCTTGGTACCCATGGATGACCACCTCTCGGGTATTGCTGAGGTGACTCTTAGAAGCTCCCTGGAACAAGTCACGGCTCTGGCAGGGCCAGAAGTGATGCAGGAAAGGCTTCAGCAGATGGTGTTCTCAGCCAAGCAGGCCAGAGAAAAGGCCAATGAACAAGCCAGGAGGAGGCGTGAGAAGCTGAGGAACGACCCGGCAATGAAACAGAAGTATGAACAGATTAAAGCCAGAGACATGGAACTCAAGAGACAACAACGTGCTAAAGAAGCTGAAATAAGAACAGTGTTCCCAAATTACAATGAAGAGAAGAGAATTAAAGATAGGGAAAGGAAGAAAGTGCTTCGAATGAGAAAAACTTCAGATGTCACAAACAATTCCGGCGACATACCGGTTGTGTCTCCATTTCCAGGGGAACCATACCCCAGAGAAGGATATCAAATATCTACCCAAGTGTCTGCACCATCTCTAGCAGGTATTGGGGACCCAGCACAGAAATGTGTGGCATCCATGTATGCCAGTTACGGGGTCAACTCTCAATATCCTCCCTCACTGCCCCACATCCGACCACACCAATACCTGTCTCTCCCTGATGGCGTCGAGTCAAGTCCAGATATCAAACCTGTCACAGAGAACCATAAACTTTCCAGCCAATGGGATTCTGTGTAAAACCATTCATACACTGATGTTAATAAATCTAATAAAGGAATATTTTACTTTACTGATGCATTTTGCTGATGTTTACTAGACCATTGTTTGAAATTAAGTCAAAGTGTTCTGAAATAAAGTTTTTGGTCCAGAGTTAAGATGCCTGAAGAACCCCTGGACCATCGTTGCTTGTGTACAAAGCTGACACATTGATCAGTCCTTGTGAATATGATACCACAGATACTTTCACTATCGTTCACAGGATTCCTGCTTGGATTGAGGGTGTTTGGACAGAAATATGATAGTTGAATTGTCACATTCAGAATACTTACACTGTCATTGACAGGCTTCCTGCTCGGATTGAGGGTGTTGGGACAGTCATGACGGTTGAATTGTTACATCTTTAGTACATACATACAAAGCATCCCTTTGTGCTTTTCTCCCACCTTCACCTGCTACACTCAGATAAACATTCAAATAGGCATCAATTTGCCTAAATGATTAAAGACCAAATCACACACTTTATGGCAAGGTTGTTCCAAATGACTGGATGCCATCAAAAAATAATAACTTCATGCATTTATCACACATGAAAATAATAAAGATGTCAGTTTATGATATCATATCAAACCATTCATTAGGACCGGCACTGAGAAGCGACAGGCATCACCATGCTGAGTTTGAGCAGAAGCTTTACGTGGCTGAGAGATCCTGAACATGTTCATAATATCATAAAGCTTTTGTATGTTCCACTGCCACCAAACTGCTGCACAGATTCTTAGATATAACGTCATGTTGTTGTTCCTGAATATGACACCACCAGAAATTCAAGATGGCCACCAAGAAGCCATGCTTAATTTTTCTACCAAGCTTCTCAAAAAAAACAAATGTCTTTGAGATTGACATATTCAGCCTACAGATATATTATTCTTAATTTGTTCAGGAATATCTAGTGTAAAACTACAGCAAGGGTGAGCTATGTGTGTTAGAGTGTTGGCCTTTACAGTATGTGATGTTGCAGACTGAAGCAGCTTGTCAGCAAGGCGCCGGTGATGCTGTTCATGAAGGGTCATCCAGATGCTCCACGCTGCGGCTTCAGCAAGAAGACAGTTGCCATTCTTGGAGAAACCGGGTAAGCTCTTCCAGCCCAGAACAACCTGTCCTGTTTATCGTCTGATCATATCATATAGGGGGCGGTGGGGTAGCCTAGTGGTTAAAGCATTCGCTCATCACTTCTAGGACACAGGTTCGATTCCCCACATGGGTACAATGTGTAAAGTCCATTTCTGGTGTCACCTCCAGGTGATATTGCTGGAATATTTTAAAAGCGGCGGAAAACTAAATTCGTAATCGCTCATTACACCTTTCATTTTGTTTTAGGTGAAGATTATGTGTGTCTGTATGTCCTGTTATCATATGATCATTTCATATATATGAATATCAAGTCATTGTAGGTGCCACAGTTCATGGTACAGAGAAATGTTTCTAGGTTTGTAGGAAGCATGACTGTTTCACCAAGGTAGTATACAAGTCCATCCAACATCTGTACCAGCTGATGTCCAGCTGATGTACATTGGGAAGATCAGCTGTTGCATGTGGTCAGGATGACATTATTTGTCTGTGTCTCCATCAACCACTTGTTTGTTACTTCTGGGATGCTGCACGTTACATTGCAAGGCTGTTAATAAAACATATTGCACAAAGTCCAAATTCTTTTATACTGCGTTTATCCCAGATGTTACAGATTCTATCCTTGTCATTAATTATATGCTCGTCATTACTCATATTAGAACAGTGCCATGCTGGTGTCACTCTTGTGAGTCTGAGCTGTTGTACGGTGATAGTTCTATCCTTTGTTTCGCATGTGGTGGTTGTGTTTCAGGGTGAAGTATGACACGTTCGATATCCTGTCAGATGACGAGGTGAGACAGGGGTTGAAGACATTCTCCAACTGGCCGACTTATCCCCAGTTGTATGTTAAGGGAGAACTTGTTGGGGGACTTGACATTATCAAGGTACAGTATGTTTTTTAAAGATATCTTCACTTTCTAATGTCATGTGCTTGTATGTTAGGTTCTGTCATTCACGTATGGAGTCTCACATTTTTAAACGAACAATGCTTGAATGGCTAAACTTTTTCCCTTTTATGAGGGCCTACTCTGTGTACATTTTTGAGGATTTATGTACGAATATCATGAATGAAGTTGTGTTGTTGTTTTTTATTTTATTAATAGAAAATGAATTTGGATAGGCTCTGCTTTTACCATTATAGCTATCAAGTATGAATTAACAGTTGACAATCATTAGTGTACAGTGAAGTGAAGTCTTATGCACTAAAGAAAATGTTTTTCGTAATGTTCCAGATGCAGTGTGCTTCGTACTTACTGTTGTGCACCTGTATATTATTTCAGATATTCGGATAAAGTAGACATGATTTTATCAAAAGACTTTATATTTCCATAGGAACTGCAAGAATCTGGCGAACTGGAAAGCACACTAAAGGGAGATAACTAAGACGATTATCTCCCTTCCTACATCCCAAGCAAGAGCCATCTTTGATCTGATAATAACCCTTTGAGGGTGTAAGTTACTTGTCAGTGAATATCAATGAGGATTATAACCTATTAGATTTTACACTTTTTTTATCACTTCATCACTAATTACATGTTTGTCTTTCATAAGCACGTTTAACTTTGTGCTCCAAATCTCTCACAACAAACTGGGCTATTGGTAAGACAAAGAAAGAAACATTTTGTGTTTTGAAAATTGGATCTGTTTATTATGATTTAACTACAGTTGTGGAATTTTCTCTACAGGTATGTATGAAAATAAAAGTGTGTACGTGTTAACAGTAGGGCAAATTACCATATACATATTCTCATCTGTGTGTCTTCTGATATCAGATATATTGACAAATGCTGATTATAGTTCATGTCAACACATGCAATGGTGAGAATTCTTTTATCTTCCAAAACACTTTTTGAAAGTTGTTTCTGTTGTTCAATAAGAACCATACCTTCAACAAGCTTATGTGGGAGCGAGATTAGTCACATAATTTGATTGAGATGTTATCATAATAGATGATGTCACAATGGTCTGCAAAGCATTGTGATGCAATTTGCTTTCTCTCCCAACTGACATTGTCTATAGAAGTTGCTTCTGGATGAGTAATTACTTTACTGCTAAATAGGCAGGTCGGGGAATGGGCACTGGTTATGAGTGTTGAGATAGTAAGGACAAGCAGCTTATAAATCAATCAAATGTTCGAAATGGTTGTTACCAGTCCAGTTATATGTGTTGTACACAAATCGTCTAGGGGGCATAAACAGACCAGCGGACACCAACATAGAAAACTGCTTGGCAGAGGCTTTAACTTTGACATGTCTGGTTATTCAGTGCATATTAAGATCAGGTTATCCTTGAATGAGAAAACTGTATTATCGGAACTTGTGCATGTATTTGTATATGACCAGAAGATGCCAGTTGTCCTGTACAGTTATTGATTCCATGTACCACAGGGCACCTGTAACCCATGTGTCCCTTCAACATGCCCCATTGTTGGAAACTGATTGGAGAATGGAAATAAACAGGGAAACAAACTGTGGTGATGTCTTTTTCTTGCAAAGATATGGCAACCAGCATCTATCTGAAGAGCTGTTTAGGGATTGGGTAGGTAAGAACCTGTTTTGTCCCACAGGACCGGAATAATATAATAACTGAGCAGACTTTCAGATGTTGTTTGAACGGTTTGAGATGTTCTGATAGGAATAAGATCTATAACTTTATTCATTTGAACTACTACAAGTTATAGATATTTAGGGCAACATATAATCCGGATTTGCTAAGTATGAGTATATTATCCAATAAAGGAAAAAACAGTGAAGTCGGTTCTTAAATAGAAAAATAAGCGGTTGTGTACATGTAAATTCCCTTTAATCAAGTGTAGGCATAGCTTTTTCGAAGTCAATTCATCTCAATAAATATGTTAATCATAATAACTTCACGGACTGTTTATTTAATCCCAGACACAAAAATGAAGACAATGATACCAACGACAGTTCAGCCTAATTCCCGCCCATCCAAGTATCAGCTATTCAGAAAACACAAGTGTGTAGGGGCGTGGCCTAATTAATAATTGATTGCTGAGCCAATATCTGTAAATGTTGACAGAAGCAAGCTGACCATGTGAATATTTGGATGACGAAAGTAAGTTGAATGAATAGAGACGTGTTTGTTCCCATGCTTTGCACACAAGTAATTTATCTTCACATGACACCAAATTCCATAGAACTGTCTCTTTTAAATTTCCTTCCAGCCTTACTGTTCACTTCTGTAAACTACATCAAAACTGAACAAGGCATGTATGAATGCTCGGAGCGTCTGTCCTGAGTCTGTGGTTCGATCCCCGGCTGCATCATACCAAAAGGCGTTAAAAAAATTGTATTTGTTGTTTCCCAGCCTTGCGCTCAGCGTTTAGACGTGAAAATAGGGAACGGCCACTCGGGGCCTGTATGCTATGTCTGACTGGGCCTGTATGCTATGTCTGACTGGGGTACATCCATTTAAACTGCGCCATGGTATCTAAGTGGGATAGTACTATAAAACAAAGTTCCTACAAGTACATGCAGGCTCACAACTAGACGTGCGTTCACTTCCATATGTGTTATTCTTAAACGTGACCTTAAACCCCATTTCACATCAGACCCCCGTTCCAACTTTATACATATTTTTGCATTTTGTTGGTTAATGATTGAGTTAAGACCTTTGACCTTTACTCATCCGTTTCGCTGGTGGTGTTGCATTTTCACCATTTCCTTTGACACAACGAGCTACCTTGACTGACAATAGGACCTCACCGTGACCCTCGGCAAGAACCCAGTCCGTGTCTCTGAACATTGGACACACGATTCCAATCTGACTTTTAATTATTGTTATGTCTTCCAGGTTTAGGTGAGCTACAGAGCCTTTGTGGTTCAATTGCATTGATCTAGTGTTTAGCAACCACCAAACGCTGATATACGGTCTGACTCCCACGTGACTGCTCATTATTCACATTGCTAAACCCAGAACACTTGGCACGTAACTGTCAACCCGACCTCTTCGTTGCCTTTCAAATGTAATACTGGATGAGATCTGGTTCATTTAGAAAAACTACAGACACTAATATGGTTCTGCGGGTGAGTATGCGATCGTTAGTGTGGCAGGAGGGCAATGGATTACGTGGACGATGCAAGGAGTGACACAACATTAATGTGTGCAGTAATAACGATGCCAGAGGGCGCTATCTCTCAACCACTGCCCCAGGACACACGGATGTCACGTGACACTAACAGACACAATGACAGGTGCGCGCCCTGGGGCTTACACGATGTCTGTGCGACAGAATGGATGACCCATCAGTGATGGTGCAATGTTAAGCATTGTCGACACTGGGACCTTTCACTACTGCTCTAGAGTTGGGTATTTTATGCTTTAAAGTCATTTTATTAGTTTGCATAGAGGGTAATAAGTACACTGTGGCCTTGATCTATATTCACTTAGAAGCTGCCAATAGCAATTAACGTCATTACGTGCCTATTTTTTCTCTAATAAACGCCGTTCCTTAATCCTTTGAAAGTTTTTTTAATATCACAATGTTTCTTTGTTAGAGTTAATTTAGGAGATTTCTGCTTGTTACAATTAACAGAGTCGGAGATGAAAGAATGAAGGAATCGAGTATCATAACATGGAACGGGGAGTGAGCATCCAAGGAGTCATGTCTGGCAGCCGTCTCCAGATTATCGCCAAATATTGTGGCAGCGGAAAGGCTTTGAAGCATGAGTTTTTAAATGTTGTGATCTCGATTTAAAGCTAATCCCAAACATTAAGCATATCAAGTTGATTGTTGTGCGTGGATAGGAAGTGGTGCATAGTGTTATAAGGCTCGTTCGGGGCGGCGGGGTAACCTACTGGTTAAAGCGTTCGCTCGTCACACCAAAGACCCGGGTTCGATTCCCCACATGGGTACAATGTGTGAAGCCCATTTCTGGTGTCCCCCGCCGTGATATTGCTGCAACATTGCTAAAAGCGGAGTAAAACCAAACTCACTCACTCACTCACTATAAGGCTCGTTCAGTCAGTTGGGTTTTCATCATAGATTAAAGGGGTCGGCTACATTCTCAAGTAATATTAAAAAATAATAAAAGAGATGTAAGGGAGATCAAAACTTGCTCATGTGACGCGATTCACCATGCACTTGGCTTGTCGCCTGTAAATTTAAAATACCAGGCAATCCCCCCAAACTGACGTGGAGTAACTGAAATACTATTCCAAGCGGTGTTCTTTCTTATCCAGGTACTATTCCTGAAACTAGCATAGCAATGTCACGAGGAAGAATCTAACAATATCACACATCAACCACGACCTGTCGTGTTTCACGAGGTATGTGATTTTTAAAAAAACACCAATTCAACACCCAACTCAGTAATATTCCAGTTATACGGCGGCGATCTGTAAATAATCAAGTTTGGACCAGAAAACCCAGTGATCAACCGCATGCGCATCGATCTACGTGACTGGAATACGATCACATGTGTCATCCAAGTCAGCGAGCCATCTTACGACAAGCTTAGTTGCTGAAGATTTTCACCTGGATTTTCACGGGTCTAGACTATTGTGACGTGACAGTGGTCACTGTCGTGTAAATCAGTCCAACAATGTCATGTAAATCGGTCCAACAATGTCATGTAAATCAGTTCATGTAAATCGGTCCAACAATGTCATGTAAATCGGTCCAACAATGTCATGTAAATCAGTCCAACAATGTCATGTAAATCGGCCCAACAATGTCATGTAAATCAGTCCAACAATGTCATGTAAATCGGTCCAACAATGTCATGTAAATCGGTCTAACAATGTCATGTAAATCAGTCCAACAATGTCATGTAAATCGGTCCAACAATGTCATGTAAATCAGTCCAACAATGTCATGTAAAAACAATGTCATGTAAATCAGTCCAACAATGTCATGTAAATCGGTCCAACAATGTCATGTAAATCAGTCCAACAATGTCATGTAAATCAGACCAACAATGTCACGTATGTGTTGGAAACAGAACATGTGATGCGATTAAGTTGAACGGATTATTAAAACAATGTTGCAAGCCCTTCACTCATTGTTAGCGATCATTCATTACGTCAGAACAGGCCATCATGCATATCCGTCATGACGTTCAAACAGGACCGGGAGGTAAATTAAATAAAGCCATCTATCTCAAATACAAAACGAAAATGTCACTCTGAATATGACATAATTTCCGGGCTGGATTGAACTGGTGGGACAAAAAAAAATCTAGTTCAGCAGCGTTTCATCTATCATTGACATTTCCAGACATGATTGAATCGAAGCAAGGATTAGAAACTACTCTCTGACTCTCTAATGTAG